ACTATAATCCTAACTTTAACCCTGATCCTAACCTTAACCCTTGACCGTAAACCTTAATCTAAAAGGCCATGACCCTACCAGATAGTATGGATTTACAGAAAAAGTGCCTAGGGAATAAGTAGAATACTGTATCTACCTTCTCGAAGTCTAAAAAAGCATGGGTGATTTGATTTGACGTGACCTTTCACAGGGTTCGCTGTATCTGATTGGCTCTCAAAGGTCAACTTTTGAAAGACCTTAACTTTGGCTATGATAATTTAACTTCACCTAAATATATGTACATGTTGTGACTGTTCGTCCTTACTAACGATATTAATGGGAACTATAGAATGACATAAAAATATCTAGTGAAAGTTTTGTTGCCGTAATCATAAATAAAGTATAATGGCTCATTTTACTGAAAACAGCACTCATGTCAAAAGGCTTGTGAAATGCTTTTCATTTTATTTTCAAGTAATGCTGTGTAGGGAATTTGTTTGATTGGTTGGAGGATTTCATCATGATCTGACATCAGTTAGAGAACCATTGGAAAACCTACAGGGAGTACTGGACAGCTGTTTCGTCAGCCTAGTTTGGGACTCTTTATCAGTACGCACTCACCCCATTGGGGTTAGAACCCAGGACTTTCTGGTTACAAAGCGAGCTCGTAGGCTGTTAAGCCACTGGGACCCAATCCAATGGCCAGCTCATGAATTCTGACTTCTGCCAATTCATGACATAGCGCGACCACTAGCCAGTGTCTTCTTCGATGATTTACTGCCTCACCTTCAATCTGCTGTACCCTACTGGTCACGGTAACTGCCTGAATACGGCCAGTCGCCAGGGAGCATCAAATTAATTTTCAAGTATTGGTTTTGTAGGGATAGTGTTTGATTGGTTGGAAGATTTCATTTATGTTCGCTAAGCTTTAGTTAGTATTTGGTTGCGAACGTTTCATCACCAGACTTGCAGACATCTTCAAAATCAGCTTCATTGAAATACCAGAATACTTCAGCAAATACTAACTCTTTGAGAAAACCAAACAATTTCCATTTTCATCTAAAGCTATAAATATTCCCTAACAGTTTAGATTTTTCTTATTTGAAATAAACATTGCGAACATATCTATAACTTTTATTTATCATAAGATTGCAGATGAAATGAATAAAGTGAGGAGAAAATAATTGAGCTTTTTAAAATTAAAATATCTGTTACCCGAAAAGTAACACTCAAAGGGAACAGAGATTCAGTAATGAGAAGTGTCATCATGTATTTTGTGGCGAAGAAACCTTATTTCGTAATCTTGAAACTCTTCCCTCTTACTTATTTTATGTTACATCTGCATCTTTATAATTGAATCTATTTATTTTCCTCGGTGAACACATATTTTCATATGATGCTTAAAACTGTCATCTGAATCTACAGGTGTCAGTGGCACAGCGGTAAAGTGCTTGCCAACCACGCAGGTGGTTCGATCCTCGGCCGACGCACTCCCTTACCTTACTAAGTCAGTATTAAGACTGATGAAGAAGGAAGGTTCGGTATGAGGCTAGCAACTTCATCCCGTACAAATAAACACCACTGCTACCGAAATTTCAAATCTATAGCTTGAAGCACTGTGTTCCACTGGGAACGTAAAGGAATAAAAAAATCTGTAAGTATGTTCAGAGTTTCCTGCTGTCACCAATATGAGTTTAAGACTAGAGTTACATCTTCTACTAAAATAGTCGTAAACGCTCTTGGGATTATATACAACTTATATTTAAAGAAAGATTTAGATTTTTAGACTACAGTGTGTGTTACAGTGAATGTTACTGACTGATATGAATATTTGGATAAAACTAGCACTAACCAGTAGAGCCCACAAACCTAATCGATGTGAAACCAGTCCCAGTGTCAAACTAATCTTACACTATAACCTAAAAATCTTGAGTTTCTAAAGGAAACCATAAATTTTCATCACTCACTGTGTGCTTACATTTAGGGTCATGTTCAGCTTCTTTGATAAGTTAATCTAGTTGCAGTGCATATGGTGTCCTTCCAAGTGTTCATTTATTGTAAACTAGTACAACTGCGATAGTTATAAAGAGATCTAGTGCTGGTGGAAATCTGCAAACGGCTAACGAAGATTGTTTCCATTGTCTGTCCTCATTGCTCACCTAAGCGATTTTCCTCTGTACTTAGGCGCCCAACATGTGCATTCTAGTCTCCGGTTAACATAACAACGTGTGTTGGGTGCACTTGATTAGGAATGCTACTGACTTGCACTTCGGTTGCAGTCAACTGGTGCATAAACAGAGGTGATGAAAATATTGTGCTATTTTAGTCAATTACTTCTTAATCCAATATAATCTTTTAGCCCGTGGACATATGAACAACCACTAATCGATATCTAATTGAGTAATGTAGCTTCAGCATTTAGTGAGACGCCAACATCATTTAAGCTGGACACTAATGCCACAGGGTCACCCGATAATCGAACATGCGACATTTTCTGAGTTGACAGATGGAAACGTTATTCAAAGAAATTCATTGGAATTTCGTATACAGCTCTCTTAGGTACATCATACATCAGAAGTGAGGCTTCCCAGGGTTCTTGCTAAACACGCCTATTGTCTGACTTGCAGCAGTGTGAGGACATTATAAGTGGTAAGTTTGGACGCGAAATGCAATGGAGAAATTGTGGTTTTATATATACTGGTGGGGGCGGGGGTAATTTTCTGAAAGCAGCTATTCGGTGACTGAATATGAGATAGATAAACTAAGATTTCAAATAACGATGAGCAACTGACAGAAACAGAGATAATAAGGGATATAAAGGTGACAGGAATAAAACAAGACAGTTCCTGTATGAAACTAACAATAACAAAACAATGATGATGAATGATGTGTCTGTATTTATCGTTCATACGTTATCAGGTACGATTAGCCAAAAGACAGTAAGGTTTATTTAGGCTCTCCATTGAACTGTCACGTCATATATAGCATGTAGGTTGAGTTTCTAATCGAAATATATGATTATCTCAAGGGAGCACACGCCGAGTCTTCGACTCGAAATATAACTCATCAGGCAACAGACAAAATCAGAAACCACTTTCTAAGGTTCCTGGTGAAAAAAACAGGTCAAAACGCTATTCCCCCTTCTCGGACCAAGCGGCGCATATATACCGTTAGTTTAGAATCAGGGTTTCACAATTCTCCCAACCGTCTTCACCAGACTAGTGATGAAACATCACACATTGTCGTTCACTCTTTCACTTTTGTAAGAACATCACCCGCTTCACGGAAGTAGTGAATATGTCTTACTTGGAAGAGATCATGGAAGTGTGGCTACATGTCAGAATATCAAGAGGAAAACTGGACTCCCTCTGTCATCGGCCATACCAAATCATTTATGCGGTTGGTAGGAAATGAGATAGCATGTATTTACTCAGTTCCACTGTCGTTTTATGTGTACTCAGAAATTATAAATTAGAGTCATTCTTCTATTTAACAACGATTTAAATCCAAAAATCGGGAATGATGTGAGAACAAGTAAATTTTCTGTTAAGTTATTATTATGATCGATGCATCTTTATGATAGAATATTATTGAAAACAAACGCCTCAATGAAATTATGCTTATCATTTCCCTGAACAAATGTTATTATTTCTCGTCCAAGTAGAACCTAAGACCTCAGCAGAATATCACAATTTTAATTCCGTTCTATATCGCCTTTTTATCTGGCTTCAAGTTTGTCTACAAACTTTCATTTCCTTTTCTTACGATCTCCCTGGTTTTACACGCAGACGTCCAACTCAACGCTTCCTATTCGGGTTCCATCTATTCTAGGGCGTAATGCCACTCAACGGTCTTCTTAGCAAATGTCCAGTTTGTTTCCACTTCCCTCTAAATATTTGTTGGGCAATAGGCTGTCGACTGTATGTCTGATCTTCAATATCAAGGGAAGGCATGTGTTGATTAAAGTCTATGGTCTGCTAGAAATTCTTTTGGTAATGAGTACGCCAAGTATCTCAATCATATAGAAGTACTGACTTGATATTAGTTCTAAAAATTCGGATCTTGTTCGTTGTGCTAATTCCTGCGGGTCAACAAAACAATAGAGGCAAATTTCACCTGATAATTTTCGAATAAATAATCAGCTATATATATTTTGAGAATACCTATTCTTTCCTGTAGTCATGTGGGTGAATAACAGCTTATTATAGATGACTTCTAAAGCTGTTTGTGTGATAGCCAAGTTGATCATTGTAATAACAACATAACTCTAAGACTCTAGAGCTTCAAGGCACAACTGCTAGCAAAGTCCATATCTGCACTTAAAACTTTGTTAACTCCATATGTTTTTCTGTATCTCCAGACTATAGCATAGCTCTAGTGCATAAACTGTACTTTGAATTTTATCCGTCCTTACACTACCCCTGATGTACTAAGCCTGTCATCTTTATTATACAGCTGATTGTAGAAACTGAATAGATTTTTGAAGTCACTGTCGCTCAATTAGTCAACCAGAATTCAAGTCGTTTGAATTAATTCGGGTACATCGGTGATGACGATGATCTTCATCCAACTAGAAAGCACTACAGTTACGTAGATGTGAACGGTTTTCAGCTGCTTTTACCAAACAGCAGTATACACCATCTTACTATTTAAACCATTCTATGGTATATCAGTCGATTGTGATACGTTCATCGATAGATATATGATAAAGTGTATTATTCGAACACACCTTATGTAACTGACTTCATATAATTGAAGTAGCTGTTTAGAATTTTGATATGGTTAGGGAAATTATCAGTTTAACTTAGAAAAGTAGGCTCAATTCTACTATGGTCTTTGAAAACTTTACTCTTTCTCTCGCTCTTGCATTACTGAGAAACTACCGCCATAAAACTTGAATAATTTACGAAGCAATCACTTTTTTCTCCCATTTGGAAACAATTTCTTTCTCAAAAATCGAAAAGAAGAAGAAACTATGACTTTCTGTTTGAGTTTTCTTTTTATTAAAATAAATTTCACTAGTTACATATGTTTTTGTCTTTTTCTAAGGAATAAAACCGTGGCTAAGTCAGTGGTACAAAAATGAAATCAATAACCAAAAAAAGAAAGAAAGAAGTTGAAAAATTGATTGAATCTGATTTTGTTAAGTCGATACATTAGTTCTCTTAACTATTCTTTTGTTTTATTTTATCTGAAAGGAAAGTGGGAAAGGAATTTTAAAAAAAAGAAAAACTTCTACAGAAAGTTTTTCAGTCTAAATATGGTCTCCAAACATTCTGTGTATTAGTCGACTGGAATTGGTGCGTATTCATTATCTGATTTTGTTTTTTAAATGATAAATCAATTACTTGTTCATTCACTTCAACATTTGATTGATCAGGATCATAAGAATAAGAATAAGAATGATAATAATAATCATACTTTGGTATTTTCTTTTGTTGTATTCCAATTACGCAATCTATTGATTGTAATGAAGATGAAATACTGACAGGTGTATTCTCAATATCTTCAATACCACTATCTACAGATTGAGAGCACGGAGTGATTAGTAGTACTGACTTATTTGATCTATCTGTTGAAGCTACTGGTGTACTATTGGTTGGATGATATTTTCCACTGAAGTGTTGAATATTTTGATGACTGGTTAATTGTGGAGAATTGATATCATTAGAATTAAGTGATTTCATTGCACTCCTCTGTTTATCATTATAATGTTGATTGTGTAAACGAGTATCCATAGGATATGTGAAAGGAATTAAATCTGTTGAATTCTTTTTTTCATTACTAGCATTAATATTACTACTATCTTTATCTTTGGATGAATTGGGTTGATTTGAATTCAGCTTATCATGGAATTCATTGCGTAATTGATTTACACGTTCACGTATATCTGAAATGTATTAAAAATTTATCATTTAATTAATGAAGTCTTTTAAAACTTTAGAAATTAAATTCTCAAGTCTGTGTGGAGGTCAACAGCACTCAGCATCAAAAAGATCAAAAGATCCGGATTTTCAACTCCAATGTGAAGTCAGTGCTACTCACTATACGGATCAGAGACTTGCACTGCGCGTCATAAAGAGCATCTCAAACAAACTACAGACCTTCATTAACAGTTGTCTTCGCTCAATACTCAAGATCAGATGGCCGGCCAGAAAAGATCAGCAACAGAGATCTCTGGGAGCGAACCAATTAGGAACCGATTGTGAAACAAATAGGCAGGAAGAAATGGAGATGGATTGGCTGGCCATACTCTGAGGAAACCATCAAGTGACATCACTAGACAAGCCATCGCTCGAGTGGAACCCGAAAGGGAAGTGGCGAGTTGGTCGTCAGTGCGAGGGTGGGTGACTTGGAGGAGGTCATGTGAAGAGGAGATGAAAACGTGTGGGCAGACTTGGAGCCAGGTGAAGACTCTAGCAGAGAACCGAACGCAATGGAGACGCACGGCTGAAGCCCTATGTTCCTCTAGGAATTAAAGGAAACAATAATAATAATAATTGTAAAATTACGTCACGAAATACAATGTAATCAATGACAAAAAGGAGTGTACATATCAGCCGATATTTCGCTCACAAGCTTATTTCAGTAGTTACAGTAGTTTTAGTGAAGTAAGTCAACACATTTTCGATGTTTATTTATTGTTCAGTAATAAAATCACTGCTGAATAAAATTTATTTCATGTATTTAATCTATTCCAATGATTCGCTTGTCTATCGTTTATATCTTTTAAAGTTAGCGACTGTCAGATTCACGGGATGGTCAACTTCAAAAGTATACACCCTGAACTTTAGGCATTATAAATAAGGAATGTACATTATTTATCTGTTTGTCCACCCAGTCGACTTGATGAAGGCAACCTGGCGCCATTCAATTTGACATTTTTTTCTTCTGTATGTATGCATCTGATCATGTATATATAGATCAGTGTTTGAAAAAACAGGGTACCTAGATTAAGTCAGACAGTTGTCACACTTACGACATTAATTGGTGAAAGTCTAACCTCCTCTAACCTACTGGACATGCTTTTTTTCTCTCGATATCTTTTCTATGTCCATTAATTATTCTTTTCAATAAATTTACGAAAAAAAAATTGTCTGTGTATCACTGAAAAAAAGAATTCAGTATGGAATAAGGAGGAAGACACAAATTATTGTGGTTTGGCAAGACCTCAGCTCCCTCCCTCTCCCCCTCTCTCTCTCACACACACATACACGCACACACACAAATACACAACGAGATCATTTTTTATCAATAAGTTGTCTCAACTGACCGTTGAGGATGGAGGTCTAAAATAGTAACAAATAAACAAGTAAATAAATAGGTGAAGATAACACTAAACTGTAATAAAACGCACATAAGTAAGAGGATGGGGAATATATACACACTTAGTTATATATATATATATATAAATTCAGCTGCTCTTCTCACTATTTTACTTATTCAGTAAATGCCCTAGAGTAACTTTCATTTTCAAGAATGTCATCTAACACAACAAGTTTGAACAACCAATATGCTAATAAGTTGTGTTCTTTATGATTTGCGAATTGTACTCAGTCAGTAATCATTCATACACATGTAAAAAAAAATTTTTTATTGATATGATTATACTGTGGTGAAGTACACTATATATATATATATATATATATATATATATATATATATATATGTGTATGAGACATACACCACAATCATTCAAGTATACTCTTTGTTATTTCGTATTGATTAAATTCATGCTCAAATAATGTCTCAAAGCTGCATGCAGTAAAGGGGTGTTTGTAGGTGTATGGATTGAGTCGTGATAGTTGGTAGTAGTCAGATGAAACATTTTTTGATGATCAGAGCTAAAATAAGATTAGTTAGTGAATGATTCACTTTGTTTAGTGTAACATTCTGAGAAATGCTTATTATTATTGTTGTTCCCTTGGGTTCCTAGTGGAACATAGGGCTTCAACTGCACGTCTCCACTTGCTTCTGTCTTCTGCTGTACTTTTCACTTGCATCCATGTTAGTCCATACTGTTTCAACTCTTCTTCACACGATCTCCTCCATGTCACCCTTGCACCGACGAACCACTCGCCGCTTCCCTTTCGGGTTCCACTCAAGCTATGGCCTGACGCGCGATGTCACCCAGCGGCCTCCTCAGCTCACCGAGTGTCCAATCCATCTCCACTTTCTCCTGCATATTTGTTGAGCGATTGGTTCTTGTTTTGTTTGTTCCCATAGTTTCTTGTTGGTGATTCTTTCCGGTCATCTTATCTTCAGTATAGAGTGAAGACAGCTGTTGATGAAGGTCTGCAACAGGCTGTTGGAAATATTCTTTGTGACCCGCCAAGTTTCTGATCCGTATAGCAAAACTGACTTGACGTTTGTATCGAAAATCCGAATTTTGTTGTTGATGTTGAGTGACGAAGATTTCCAGATTAGTTTCAGGTTGATGAATGTGTTTCTCGCCATCCCGATTCTCGATTTGACATCCTCGTCCGTTCCTCCTGTAGTTGAGACAATGCTCCCTAGATAAGTGAATGAAGTAACCTCTTTCAAATCCCTCCCGTTGATGGTGATTGGCGCTGGATGTTGCTGTTGTTGTTGTTGTTGGTTGGTTGGTTATTTTCATAACCTCCGTCTTGTCTATGTTCACCATGAGTCCTGTCTTTGCTGCTTCTTCGACCAGTTTGTCGGTTTTCGCTTGTAAGTCTTCGATTTTGTGTGACATCAAACATAAGTCATCCGCGAAATCCAGGTCTTCTAGGTTCTTCACGTCGGTCCAGGATATCCCTGTCTTCTCGTTTCCCACTGTCTGACGCTTAAATGAAATTTAATTGTGAGTTGAGTTTTCTATGTACATATTACTAAGGGGAAGTTTATTTAGAAATATTGATGATACTTTTAGAAATCAGCTAATAGTATTATGAAGAACATCTGTTCAAATAGCTTATCACTAATTAGTATATTCGACTGCTGTTTAAGAATATTCAGAATAAGTGTGGTATAAAATAAATCATGACCAAGTGATATAATCAGATGTGACTATTTGGTTTACCCGTATTATAGGCGACTTTATGATTGAAAAATGAGCGTTCATAATATTTTTCACCATTCTAATAACACGATGGGACTAATTACCTAGTAAACTATAGCATAAAAGCACTGATGAAGCCTGAAGAAAACTAAATCTTGCGTTCCAAATTGTGCTTAATAGTAATGTTTATAACTCGCCTTATAATGTATGTCTGATAACTCCACATAGCCTTAGTGTGACTGGGAAAAATACCTATGCCTGTGGTTTTTCATGAATTACACATAACTAGCCAACATCCAAAAGACTATCTAAAGGTTTATTAATAGAATACAATTAAAACTGTTATTATGAATAAAGATTGGACACAAAGTCGAGAAAGGGGGTAGATATAGGCTCAGACCATCATCTAGTTAAAAAAACTCATCAAGATTAAGCTGAAATCCTTCAGAACAACTGGAGACAGACCACAATTCAAACTTAACACTCAGAAACTGAAGGACAAAACTACAGAGCAGACCAGAGCAAAGTCGGAGACACTACGTGGCATCACTGAGGAAATCTGCATGGGAGAACACTAGATCTCTCTGAAGGTGATGTTGAAGGAAACGTGTACAAATGTTCTAGGAAGAAAGAAGAGACACGAGAAGGAATGGCTCTCAACGGACACTTACCTGGAAGCTAATAGAAGAGGGGAGTGTGGTGGAACGGATGATGAACCAATATAAAGTTGGATAACATCAAGAGAAGCTGAGTTCAGTGTACACTGAACTGAATAAAGAAGTGAAGAAAAGTGCCAGGAAAGACAACAGACAACCTTACGACACCCTGGCTAGTGAAGCAGAACAGGCAGACTACAGGTAACAGAGATATACCAGATAACCAGGTTGTTCGCTATCCGTGAAGAGATCAATGCAGGTGAAAACTATAAGAGATGTTCGAGGGAACCTAGGAGGAGACAAATAAAAAAATTGGTTGATCACTTCAAAGGACTCTTGAATCGATCATCACCTGCAACTCGTCTAGAAATATCACAGCCACCACCAGTACTCACAGAACTGCCTACCAGTGGATACCAATCCTTGAACGAAAGCGGAAATCCTGAATGCGATCAAGCTACTGAATTCCCGCCGGGAAGGCAGAAGGACCCGACGGAATTCCCCACGAAGCACTGAAAACGGATCCAGAGACTGAGGCAGATGTGCTCACGCCATTGTTGCAAAAGGTTTGGAAGGAAGGAAAGATACTTACTGATTGGAGGAAAGGCTAGCTATCTTGTGAAACTACCAAAGAAGGGTGACCTAGTTAGGCCTGTTCAAGAACTGGTGTGAAGTAGTGCTTTTGTCCACGCCAAGTAAAATACTAAGTCGCATCATCCTGGAGAGAGTAAAAGATGCATTGGATACAGAACTTCACCAACACGGAACAAGCTGGATTCAGGAGAGACAAATCATGTGTTGATCAAATTGCAACTCTGAGCATCGTCATCACAGAACATAGCACAGAATGGCGGTAAAACCTCTAACTCAACTTCACCGACTTCGGAAAGGGATTCGAAAGATAGCGTTGTCCGCGAATTAATTTGGAAACTACTTCAGCACTATGGCGTGCAGTGCCAAAGTCTTTATCAACCTCATTCAACAGCTGGCTATATGACAATGCCACGTGTCAGGTGATCCACAACAGAAAACTCAGCGAGGCGTTCGAAGTGAATACAAGAGTAGGAAAAGCTGGCTGTCTGCCTATTATCTGCCACCACCACCTAATTTGGTGGACTGGATTATACGTCGGACTGTGCGATGGGAGTGAGAAAACAGGAATAAGATGTAATGAACGGTAAGAAGACTCTAGAAGATCTGGATTTCACAGATAACTTATGTCTAATGTCACATAAACTTGAAGACTTACAGGCAGGCGAAAACCAAAAAATTGGCACAAGAGGCAAGGCAGTCAACGAAGACATGACTGCAGGTAAACATAGAGAAGACGGAGGTGATCAAGATAACCAACGAACCGCAACAATAACAACAGCCAATCACCATCAGTGGGAAAGATTTGACAGGAGTGACTTCCTTCACTTATCTAGTAAGCATCGTTTCAACCGCAGGCAGTCGGAACGGATGAAGATGTCAAGGCCAGCCAGAATCGGAAAGGCAAGATACGCCTTCATCAACCTGAAAGCAGTTTGGAAGTCTTCTGCGCTGCACTCAGCAAAAAGAACAAGAATAAGAATTTCAACACCAATGTTAAGTTACTTCTTCTTCATGGGTCAGAAGCTTGCACTGCGTGTCACAAAAATGATTTCCAACACGTTAAAGACTTTTACAAGCAGCTGCCACCTTCTCTGGTTCCATACTGAAGATCAAATGGCCAGAAAGAATTAACAACAAGAAACTCTAGGAACGAACTAACCAAGAACCTATCGTTCAAAAAATATGTGGGAGAAAATGGAGATCAATCGGGTGTACATTGAGGAAACCGTCGAATGATATCGTGCGCCAGGCCAGCCTTCGAGTGGAAACCAAACGGGAAGCGATGAGAGGTTACGGCCAATCGTGGACCCAGAATAAGAGGATAGTAGAAAATAGAACAAAACGGAGGCGTGTTGTTGAAGCCCTATATTCCACTCGGAACCCAAGGAAATAAAAATAATGAATGAAGATTACAAGATGTGACGCCCTTTTTTGAATCATAAGTGTAGTTATCAAGACTTTGGATTTTTCTGTGATTGTATGCATCAGTTGTTAAAGAGGAAGGCATGCCTCAATTTGGATGACAGAGAACAAAGTGAAGAGAAATAAGGGAATCGTTATTATTCTAAAGATTGAGGCTTTTCGAAGACTACACGAACGAAATACAATTCATAATAATATAATGAAATATTTTTATAGCAGTTTGTAAGTGATCACCTGTATTTATATGCTTCCAATTGCGCTTATTTGAAGTGAAAGCCTATCAAGATTAATTTTAGCCTACATCTAAATTTCTTTCACTTGTAAATAGTAACAAGTGTACCAAGGAGATTGAGGGAGACTCATAGAAATCATCTGATTTTTGAGTACTCAATTGAATTTGTTCAAGACAATATTAAATAGTAGGACTAATTTATACCGACAGCTTTGTTGCAAAGGGATTTCAACTGATAAAGATTATAATATTCTACTAACCTTTTTCATACCACTTCTGAATTGTTCTATCCTTATAGTTTGTGAATAAATAATTGTATTGATTACAGTATAGGTTTCTTTACCAATTAACATGAATTGGAGAATCACTGAAAACCACGGCGAGCTGTATCATTGTTGCATCACAGTTCGGAACTCTTCGTTGTTACACATCATTCAATGTACAAGGACCTTCAGCTTACGAAATGAGCCCTTCAGCATTTAGCCATTGGCTTAGAACCTAACGACCGGTGAATTCTAACTTCTTTCATTTCATGATATAGCAATACGATTTGATAGTGTGGAAAATTCCCATATTATGAATTAAAAGTCAATTTGAACGAAGAATATTCTTTTCAATAATTTCTCTTCAGGTTCTTACAATTATAAAATATAATATTTGTTGTCGTTACAATAAAGGCCAGTTATGCGGCAGGTACATTTTTAACGTAGAATAACAGATTAGTTATGGGGTGTCAAAATAAATAGTCGTATTTGTGTGTAAGAACCTGAAGAGAAATTATTGAAAAGAATATTCTTCGTTCAAATTGACTTTTAATATAGCAATACGGCTGAAGAGTTCCCAACTAGGATAAAACAGCTACTCATTGCCCCTTGGTTTTCAGTGACTCTCTAAGTGATGTCACTTCGTGCCAGAATCTTCATTATAGTCAGTCGAAAACCCTTACAAACCTCAAAAATATTTAACAGTTATATGTATTCTATCTATGTGCTTACTAGTCATCACGTTAGCTTTTCCTATTATTCTCCTTTTTCAGTTAAATATGCTGACTGACTGGACTGTCATTACCATAAATACTTCTGACCTTCTACTGATAGGCTACATGCTGTCAGTAGTTGATAGAGTACAATCTGCACCAAACAAAGGACCAGACACATCACATTAATTACTAGTGTCCGGTCAAAGTATCCAATACAGGAGGTCAATCGCGAGCCCGAATAACTCACTGGTAACGTCTCTGACTGTAGCACTGGGTGACGCGAGTTCGAGTCCCAGAAGGGACAAGACTTCCTTCAAGGCTGGAGATACGCCTTTCTGACTAGTGAGTGCCAACTAGCACGAGACATAGGTTCAAGACTTCCTACCGATTGCCTCCAACCATCTAACATCAACATTTCAAAGTGTATCGTGATGGCGAGCTACCTAGAATGGTGGCCACATTGCAAACCTGACTGATAGAATTCAGTCTACACCAAAGAAAGGACTAGACACACAACACTAGTTGCTCACTGGTGTCCAATGACAGTACAATGCAACTGTTTATTTTGAAAATCTCTTTTTTTTTGAAGCTAAAAAGATAACATTTCAAAATACTGTTATATAATAATTTATAGTCAATCTCACCTGGTTGTTCATTTACAATGGCGACAACATTTGCAAAGACGTTATGACAAATATTAAGGATATCAGTTTTTTCAATTTTTTGATGTTGTGTTGGCTATAAAAGTTAAAGAGAAAAAAATAATAACTGTTATTATTTCTAGATAAAATATTTTAAATAATATCTGTGTGTAACAAGATGACTACACAACTGACTCACATCAAACAGTGTGACGGTAGGAGACAAGAGACTTGGTAAAGGAATTTGATATCTCTATATAGCGAAATTATGTACATCATTTCCCCAAATCGTCACTTGCACAGATCTCCTGTGTTGTGCTACTTCTGGACTTTATACTGTGTTTCTTTGCCTTGTTTTCGGGTCTCCCAAGTTTCGTGGCAACGCTGAATCATTTGCTTTCTCTGACATCAAATCTATCTATCTCCTTGCTATTTGATCTTTTTATGCCGATGGACGTCTCCCCATATACTACTGACAAATCTTGTCAGTAGCATACACCACAACAGTAGTACCTGTTAGCCAGATCAAAGGGGTTTAAATATCGGATGGCCGTATTGTTGAGTTTATCAATGATATATCTGGTTACACTTAGCTCAAAGAGCCGAATCTGTTCAACTCACCCAAATTCTGGGTAGCAAATGTCGTGTAGACGTTATTTAAATCACAATAAAGAAAGTCTATAATTGATAGTGATTGATAATAGCGGTGAGCAGTTTCGAAGCAGGTCAAATTAGAAAGAAACAGCTTCTCACTATCTCATGGTTTTCAGTTGCTTCCCCTCTTACACTGTTTTGTAATTAAATGTCTTGAAATTCACTACATTCTAATAAATCCAACATTTAGGTGAGGTGATAGTGAAACAGTGAATACCACAATAGTCACTAGTTTACAGGATCATTATTATATATCATGTCATCTAAATCAACTTCTTATAACTTAAGGAAATGAAAACAGATGTCGAATTTCAGTCAAAAATAACCAGAACTCCTTTTTTCTCTCGAATAAATCTTATGTGTTGAAGAAAACTTTAAACAGTCTTAAAATGTTCAGCATTTAATGAGGTGATTGCTGATGTTGAAATGAAATTCTGGATCGCTGCGCGTTTCAAACAAATAACTATCAAATATTGAATGAGTTACACAGGCTTGTTATCGATTGGGTTTTGGTTTTATTTCAATCACACAGAGAGTGTTACCAAGTTGACATGTGAATAAATGACACATTTTTTTATTCCTTCACGTTCCCAGTGGAACATAGGGCTTCAAGCTAGAGGCTTGAAGTTTCAGTAGCAGTGATGTCTATTTTTACGGGATGGGATTGCTAGCCTCATGCTTAACCTTCCTTCTTTACCAGTCTTATTACCGGTTTAGCGAGGTAAAGGAGTGAGTCGGCCGGGGATCGAACCCCAGATCACCTCCGTGGTCGGCGAGCATCCTAACCGCTGTGTCACCGACGCACAATGACACATTATTGTCTATTTATCATCGGCAAACTGGTAGCTTATCCAAGTTATTTTAATCCCATCCTAATATTTGGAAGTATTTTGAGATTTATTCGAAATTTTCACCTTGTCAAACAATGAAATTCAAAAGATATTAGGCTACACTCATTTCCATCTTAAATTGAGAAATTACTCAAATTATTCAAGTCACTAATCGTATCTTAAAATCTCTTACAAGCTTCAAGTTAAGCTGAACATTGATTGGACAATATCGGACTGTTTTAGTATTCTCTACACTAAAGACGTCATGAAGATGTATTGATTTTTGTCATGTAGGGAGTTGGGGTGGTTTCTTTGAAATGCAAAGCATCATTATTTAAATACTTTTGATGAAATGATAGAAAATTAATCGGAACAGAGCAATTGTGAACATATTCATTAACTTAATTTGATGAGGACAGAAGTTTAACAGTTACGATAACAAGGTTTTCCAGTATTCAGAAAAACAATTAGTTTACTTATATCAGAAAATGTATCTAAAGTAAAAACTTGTATAAGGTTGCAATAATTAATTCAAGAGATTGGAATCCTGTCACCAATTAAATCCCTACAAACCAATACTTGAATATCAATGAGATGCTCACTAGCGACTGGCCTTATTCAGGCAGTTACCTGGGGTTCTAGTAGGAAGCCGTAACCGGTAGGGCTCAGTAGGTTGAAGGTGAGGCAGTAACTCATCGAAGAAGACACTGCGAAGTGGTTACGCTACGTCATGAATTGGCAGAAGTAGGAATTCATAGATTGGCCATTGGATTGGGTCCCAGTGGCTAGTGAATGGTATACGAGCTCGTCTTGTGATGGGAAGGGTGTAGGTTCGAACCCTGATGGGGGTTGCGTACTGAGGAAGAGTCACAAGCTAGGCTGATGAAACAGCTATCCAGTACTCCCTGCAGGTTTCCAAAAGGTTTTCTAACTGATGTCAGCTCATGATGAAATCCTCCAACCAATTCTGGTTTAATCTACTAACTCTCATACTATGGTATATATATATTTTTTGATAGTATATTTATTTAAGAATGGAACGGGCCATTATGACAAATCTCAAAATTTCATTCGTTAGTGTTTGTGTCGATGTGATGTCCAGTGTTGACCAAGTGTGACAGAATCTAACTTTTTATGAATTTAATTTCCTCCTTTCTGAACCAAGCTGATAAATATTCTCGAGCCCTCAGACAAAACTACCTAATCGTACGCCCTATATAACTTGAACCACAAGAACAGTAAAAATGGTGTATGCATGAAGAAGAGCTAAGGTTAGATACAGAGTAAAAAGTTTTCTTTACCGCTATGGTTAAACGCTGTAATAGAATCTTCGCAGGGGTATCTTCCCAGAATGTGCCATTTCAACTGTTCCTGTGGTTCAAGTTACATAGAACGTACGATTAGACAGGTTCGTCTACGGTTTCAAAAACATTTACCAGCTTGGTTCAGCAAGGAGCAAATTAAATGCATAAAAAGTTTGATTCTGTCACACTTGATCGATACTGAACATCACATCGACGCCAACACGACCTTGAGGTTTATAAACCGAATTCTGAAGTCGTTATTACGTACAGTTCACTTACGTCTCCATCACTAGTGTTTACTTAATACAGAACGTAATGGCTAATCTTTTCGTTATCCTTTATTGTGAATTAACAGATCAATGAAGCATATCATTATAGATTTATTCCTTTAAATGTTATGTGAATTAATAATTCATATCGAGAACCTTGATATAAAAGTTACCAATGAAACTTTACACATTTATATGTTTTGTTTGTTTATTTTTCAGTGCAATGTTAAATTGTTTAATAAATATAACAATTGTATTATACAAAATGTCATAATGATTCTTTTTAAAAAAAAAATATTTTAGACAGAATCAATCTACCTTTTGACAATTAGACATAATGCACTCTAGCATAGTGATAAAAAAAAAATAACTAACTGAGTGCATTGTACAAAACTGGTCTGCAGATGATTTCAGTTAATACTTATGCTTGAAAAATGGGACTATAGTTACCATTTTGTTTGGTGAATAGTTCAGACACTAGGGTAATTACCATCCTTATTATATTATTATCTGTAAGACTTATGTGATTAGTTTTATGAAGAATAACGGTGAATGACATTTCACCATATCACGCAAAGATTGTTTGTTCTCTATGCCAAAATATAAACAATTAGGTGTTTCATAGTTATTAGGATATAATGGTTATGTGATAGGCTCAACAACAACAACAGCAGGAATATAAAGACAAACCAATTCACTGATCAACTAAACCTCTCTCTTTCACACACACACGCACATACACGCACACATATATACACCCACGCACTTCACAGAATACCACTGCTTTTAGAAAATAATATAAAAAACTAATCAAATGTACAACATTATTTATTGGATTAAGTCTGATGGTGAAATTTGGGTCAACTTATCTATTTATTTTTTATTCATTCTCTTAATATACCCAGATATATACTCACTTTCTTGTAATTTAGCATGAATATTAATAATAATAATAATAATCAGTAGGTCATTCATATGAGTATACATTGTAAATATATGTAAATTTATCTTAGCTAGTATTGGCAGTGTGCATACAGGATAAATAACAGATTTCGTAAGTTGTATTCACATTCACCTCGCGATGTGCAGGTCTTGTATTCAATCCTTAGCAGGGTCGAGAGTGTGCCCTGACACAGGTTCTCAAATTAGAACTAAATGTATTTCCAGCACTCCATAGCTTTAGTGGTTCTGTAAATGATATTCACGATTAAAACAAAATGATACACTAAAATATAGGGTTTGTGCGTCAGTGGCACAGCGGTAGAATGCTCACCAACCACGCCTCATGTGGTTCGGGGTTCAATCCCCGGCCAACTCACTCCTTTACCTTGCTAAGCCGTTAACAAGACTGGTAAAGAGGGGAGGTTTGGCATGAGGCTAGCAACCTTATCCCGTAAAAATAAACACCACTGTTACCGAGACTTTAAATCTCTAACTTGAAGTCCTGTGTTCCACTGGGAACGTGAAGGAAATAAAAAGAAATATATAGAGTTTACTAACCGAAAAAAGTCTAAGGATTACTGCATCATCCCTTAACCAGTCGTGTCACCAGATCCAATTACTGAAGAATTTTTAAATTCACATCAGTTATCATGATTTCACTAAGTTTTCATTAGTAGGATAGGTAATATACTACTGTCATCTTATCATTAACGAGATTTAATCAACAAATGTGTCTTGCAGCTTAATAAATAGGGTACCATGTCAATAGACTGGGGGATGTTGGTTCAAGTTTTGCTACCATCTGGGTCTTGGTTTTATTCTCAGTAATTACCCCTACCCCCATCCCATCCGATTTGCGCCAGTGCCAGGTTGTCAGTTTAAAGCTCTTTCGGATATTAATTTAAAAACAAATATGAATTTTAACCTACTCTTAGTGCTTAGGTATTGATGTCATCACCTGAAAACTCTGTTTCAACCCTACTTATTTAGGACAGACATTTTTAAACGATATATTTCTGTTTGAGAATGAATATCTTCATATTGTTTTGTTTGACAGATAACTGACATGGCGAGTTAATATTATTTATTAAATAACAGTACTATCAACGCTCATCTTACATAACTAAATTACAGTGTACTCTAATAAATTGAGATAAAAACGATATTCAGTAAATAGTGTTGCTTTGTATGACACATGTAAAAAAGTCACACAGATCTGTAACTACTCACTACCACACAATATGCAATTTCTATGTTGCATTAAAGTTGTTAAACAGTACATGTGTATCTCCTTTCACGAAAGAAGAAACGGGTGGTGAAGACAGAGTCACTCTCAAGATTTGTTGACATATATCACAGAGCAGTTGTCAACTACAGCATAATGAATAAGGCGGGTCACAGAAAGAGCTGATACTCTACAATAAGCTATGAGGTTCGTCAGAAACTTCCTACCAGAGTCCATATCAAACCATGGCCTCAACGAACTGTTCCAGCAGCGTCAGGGGCTCAACATCATTAATGACAGCCTAATGTTTGAGGAACGAGTGGTAATATCTGACACTTTGCGACAGACCGCACTGGAACAATTTCATAGTGGGCACCCAGGAATTGCATGGATGAAATCTGTTGCCAAAAGTTATGCGAACTGGCCAATTACGGATGCTGATATGAAAGACTGAGTTAACCGCTGTCACGGGTGCCAAACTGAAGCCAAAAATCCGACTAATTAACATATCCCTGGTGATTTTTCGAAATATACGTTATTGTGAGAATAAACATATACTTTTCCGTCTTGTCTACTGTGTGCTCTCACTTAAATTTCTGGCTGAGAGATTGGTTAGTCATTGTATACGTTTTTGGCCTAGACAAGCGGTACTCGCGATTATCAGGTCTTTCATCAGCTCGACGTCCCTATTTCAACTCAATGTTTTGCAAAATCTAATAATATCAGTGGCTAGTTACTCGGTTTTGTTAAACCATGAATGCATTTAAGACACGATTCAATAACTCAACTGTTTTCGATAAACATTTCATGAAAATGGAAGTATGTTAGAACATTGGTAAGCTTAACTGGCTTAGGAATTAAAGTTCAGCTGCTAGGTGACTTGTTCATATACCCCTCCAACTGCTCTGATTACGACAATCATAGAATATCCATAGACGGTGATTGGTAGCTTAATACACAAAGAAATTTATAGACTAATTTGGTTAAACTATATACATATTTGACTGGAAAAGAAAATCATGCATAGCTAATGAATAGGAAACATGTAAATGTTTAACTGAATTATTCTTTAGCTATGCATTCCAAAATAACAAGAATGCTGACTATTTTTCATATTTCGAAGTATGGCTTGCAGGGATTGTGTTTGATTGGTTAGAGGATTTCATCATGAGCTGACATCGGTTAGAGAACCAATGGAAAACCTGCAGGGAGTACTGGATAGCTGTTTCGTCAGCCTAGCTTGGAACTCTTCCTCAGTACGCACCCACGACCTTCTGGTTACAAGGCTAGCGAGCTCGTAGACCATTCACTAGCCACTGGGACCCGATCCAGTGGCCAACTCATGAATTCCAACTTCTGCCAATTCATGACATAGCACGACCACTTAGAAATGTCATATTAAATATTTGAAGTATCATACTAAAGAAGAATACCAATTTGATAAAGGTGTATGAAATAATTGATTGAAAACAAAAAAAGGCTCTAACTTACATCTTCACCAATTAAATCCATAGCTAAATTATGCAATGCATTCATTTTATCTGATATACAAGCTCTTCTACGGCGTTCTAGATTCTGTTTTTTAATCTGAAATTTATAATAATAATAATAATAAGTAAATTAACAAGACTGTTTGAAAAATAACAATATGAAAAGGTGATGCATAACTGTATAATATCAAGTTGTGAGTTCTTGGGGATTTGTTTCAAATTCATATTGGATCACATCACAAAGAGACATCAGCTAAAAGAATCACTGAAAACCACGAAGTACTAAAAACACGTTTTATTCCACTTTGGATATCTCCAAAAATACTAAGTGAACATGTTACTATTCAACCATTGGGTCAGAATCCAGCTGGCTTGTGATTTCCAACTTCAATTTGTCTGTATAGTACTCTCTTTATCTAATATCAGGTATCTTTCCTTATAATGACAGACTTCACCAGTCACAAATTTTCACTAGAACTGCAGGAACGTCATTTTCAACTAAGGCACTGTTGTGTAACTGAATGAGATTAGAATTATTTAAGCATCATATGGAAACAACTGAGTTCGTTTACGGTATTTCTTTCCGATACACAGAAATAAGATTTATGCGGAGAAGTGGATCCACGTGTTAACATTCTTTCTATGAGTGCCACACTTCAGTCATAATTCCAGAAAAAGAGAATAGCTTTCGTGCTACCCGTTATATGATATACTCATCATACAAGTTTATGATCTGTTGACCTATTTAAATTGTAATATAAAAACTTACTGTCTAGGTTTCAATTACACTTTAAGCGGAAAAAAATGATATAATCATTTTTGGCTACTATTTTAATATTCATACAAACAATAAATAAATGATCACTACAGATAGTAGTCACAATTTATAAAGGTGCGTTAACCAAAAAAGTGTAACATTAATTACAAGGAAACCTTTCTTTTTTAATTCCTTTACGTTCCCAGTGGAACATAGGGCTTTAAGCTAGAGGCTTGAAGTTTCGGTAGCAGTGGCGTTTTTCTCTTTAAGGGATGGGGTTGCTAGACTCATGCCTAACCTTCCCTCTTTACCAGTCTTATTACTGGTTTGGAGAAGTAAAGGAGTGCGTCCATGGCCGGGGATCGAACCCCGGACCACATGCGTGGTCGGCGAGCATTCTACCGCTGTGCCACCGACGAACAAGGAAACCTTACAGATGGCATATTTAGAAATTATAATCTGTTTGAATGTTAAAGTTAAATTGAATATTTTGAAAATTCTTCCCTTTATTTAGTCTGTAAACTATCATCAAATGCTCCAAAGGTAGCAACTGTTCTGAAAGTATGAGACTGAATGCATTAGATATAATGGAGAAGATTTGTAGCTCAGGTAGATGAATACTAACTGAATACATTATTAGAAGTGATTAAAATATGGGACTATTAATGTATCAATGAATCCAACTGCAACCATTAGACTGTAAAGTTGAAAGTAGTTGTGAACAGTTTAGCACCTTATTTCAACAGTAATAATATCATAGCTTGCTTCAATCGACAAGTTTGTCAAGCTAAGGCAATGTAAGTCAATTGAGAAGGTTTTATACAATGAAGTCCACATAGGAAACTCAAGTGTCTGAAAGATTCGAATTAGTAATTTATAGGTTACCAGTTTTTCCCTCCAGTCTTAGTTATTATTTCATCCTATCACATCATAGTGCCAGTTTATCAAAGTTAACCTCAAAAAGAAGAGCGTATAAATATGCCTACCTGAAGTATTTTCAGTTTAGACTTATGTCTTTATAGCATACTGTTACTTCAGTGAATTAAGTCAACTTTTCAGGTTTTTACTCTTAATGATGAACTTTTTCGTCGAGGGCACAGCGGTTATGACTCTCGCCGATCATGCACATGGTCCGGGGTTCGATCCTCTGCCGACGCACATACGGTGTGGAATCAAGCTGTAATCAAAAATCAAAAAATCAAATCAAAAGACATCTTCGCAGCATTGATGCCTGACACGAGCCATCTTAAAAAGCCATACGATTCAAATAACTATCAGTCAGATTGCTAATATACTATTTCAGATTAAAATTTAGCCCAAAATCTGTTTAATACTAATGGACGGTGACTGTTTGTTATTGATGAAATGAATGATGACTCAAGGTGTAATGAAAACATGACAGCTGGGTATATTACCCATGGTGATTGTAGTAAGTGGTGGTCTGATTAGCAGTTGAGTCTTGTAGCTCGTAGCTTTTAGAGCACAGGACTAGTAATTGAAACGCCGCGGGTTCGAATCCTACTAGGACCCAGATTTTCATTCCACACTAAATCATCATCCATTACATTAACATTACATCAACTTATCAACACCAACAAAAATTAATTACTTTCTAAATATTTAGAAAAATGAAACAGTTATAAACCAACTATTAGAAAAGGTATCATTATTTAGAGACTATTGAGATAAAACTTAACTAGACATGAAATTTTCGTACGGCAAAAAAAAAGAGAATATAATTTTGTTACATACTCTTCTTGTTTGTTCCCGATATTCTGGAGGTATAGTAGATCGTCGACCACGTCTTTTCCCTTTCGATTTATCACATGTTATAGGTGTTGATGTTTGACAAGGATTTATAATAGATTGATCAGCTGTTTTATAAATATTGTTATTCATTATCTTTTTATTATTTTTTTCTCTGTTTGTAAGTGAATAGCGGATAATATTTGGCAAGTGATCACACAGAGACTCATATCCATTTATATATAAATATAGGTAGTCGCATTCTTTTGGCTAAATCAACCCCGTGTCTTGTTTATTTTGTCCAATCAGCATAAAGACGAGTAGTTCACGTAAAAATTTGTCACCCGTTCATTAAAATCTCATACAAAAAAATGAACCAATCAAAAAAAGGTTTCAGATTAAAAGTCATACACTTCAGATAATAGTACTCAAAATAATTGGTATAACACACTTTCTACCCGCAGAACACGCTAATAATAATAATAGTCCGGTTGGGACAATAGACATTATTTTATTATTCTGATGTCATCAGATCAGAGTGTATTCATTTTTTACACAATGAACATAACAATAGATTACAAGGCGAAAGGTTATTTATTTTGTAACATATATGGCTAGGATCACAGAAGAAAACACAATCTTTCATGATATCAGAGATATGATCATACTTTATTTGATTGTTACATTTAGTGAGAATTTTTATTTCACTGATTTGGAGTAGTTTTAGTCGAACTTTTTTCACCTCATTTGGCAATGACTTTTTATAATAATTAGCTTAAATGTTAGTTCATTATTGAAAAAAAAAGATTTTGTATTTCCCAATGAATGAAAGACACAACGATAATGTTTTTTTGCTGACCTTTTGCTATCCATTGCTAATAGATTTATTATAATAGTAATAATAATTATTATTCCCTTGCGTATCGAGTGGAACATAGGGCTTCAGCAACACTTCTCCACTTTGTTCTGTTTTCTGCCGTCCTCTTCAGCTGGGTCCACGATTGACCAAACTCTTTCATCTCTTCCTCATACGATCTCCTCCATGTCACCTTTGCACTGACGACCCACTCGTCGCTTCCCATTGGGATTTCACTCGAGTTATGGCCTGGCGCGGGATGTCATTCGGCGGCTGCCTCAATGTATGCCTGATCCATCTCCATTTTCTCCTACATATTTGTTGAGCGATCGGCTCTTGGTTGGTTTGTTCCCACAGTTTCTTGTTGCTAATTCTTTCTGGTCATTTGATCTTCAGTATGGAGCGAAGGTGGCAGCTGTTGATGAAAGTCTGCATAGCCTGTTGGAAATCCTTTTCGTGACACGCTGGCCAAGTTTCTGACCCGTATAGAAGAACCGACTTGACAGTGGTGTTGAAAATGCAAATCTTGTTCCTTATGCTGAGGTGCAGTGCAAATTCCCAAACTGGTTTCAGGTTGATGAAGGTGTATCTTGCCTTTCCGATTCTGACTTGCTTTGACATCTTCATCCGTTCCGCGTGTAGTTGAAACGATGCTTCCCAGATAAGTGAAGGAGACAACCTCTGTTAAAGCTATCCCGTTGATGGTGATTCGTGCTGGTTGTTGTTGCTGTTAACTGGTTATCAAAATAATATTGTTGTATTACTAGATGGATAGATTCCTGAGAAATTGATTGAACGTCTACTGGCTACGGCATCATTACGCAAAATTCATAATTGAGCGAAATTCTGATAGATATTAACAGAAAACCAATGCTTAGTGGAATTCAAGAAACACATTATATTGTTGACCAGTTATGTAATGTGAAAATTTGGGGAGATTTTTAATTTTCAGGTGTTAGTTTGCAGGGATTTGATTGGTTTCAAGTTTGACCACGGATTGATATCAGTTGGAGAACTACTGAAAAGATTTGGCTATCACACTCATGACCCCGACGAGGATCGAAACTGGAACCTTCAGTTTAGGAGGCGACCATACTATGGGATTACGCAATAATACTGTAAACCATTGGATTGCTTTACCTTCAATAAACAGTTTATCGGACTATATGACCAACCTTTATAAAACGCATCTATTTCTGTATTCATTGGGTAGTATCAAATTGTGATGAAAAACGGGAACATCAGCAACAAATGCATTTTTTCAGACCATTAAGCACTTTTATTTCCTGACTGAAACTGTAAGACTCACCTTTGCTAAGGAAATATTTTTCTGCTATATTATCAGAAGTTAAACCTTTTGAAAAAAGAAGATGGAATTTGAAATTATAAGGAACTAAACAGTCTTATTTTAATTGTTTTTATTCTATTGCGCTTTTGTAGGGATTTGGATTAATTTCGATGTAGATTTCGTCACGAACCAATGTCGGTGAGAGAATTATTGAAAACAAGGAACACTGAACAGCTGTTTCATCCCAGCTTGGGACACTTCAGCAACGAACATAAAACCTTAAGTATTATCGCATCCTGGACCTTCAGGTTAAGGTAACGCTGAATTACTTATTAGTCGTATATACAAGTTGATTTTAGTCTGTACGAGAGATTATCTGTATAGAGATAAGTGAGGCTCTACACAGAGTATTTCATGTTAGGCTAGATGCCTTTAGCAAAGAAGACTCATGTCAAATGAGGATGTGATGAATTACTGGTGATTCCTATTGAATAATTGACACTTTGTTAATAGGAAAGCTAAGTAAACTAGGGGAATCACTTAACATTTAATAAGTTAGATATAATGTAAACCTTATCATAGGAAGCTAGACGAATGCTTACAACCAATGCCTATATACATATGTCAATAATAAGACTCATTCTAATCTTCACACACCATGAGATTAAGGACTGTAATTCCACAAGTGATAAATGTCAGTGAAGGATATTATTTTGTGCTTTTTTTTCTTGTTCGTCAACAAAGTATCTATCTGTTCGACTGCGATTTAATTTTTCCACATTGTATTGAGGAAATATAAAATGGCTTTTAAAGTTCTACACATGTAGATATTACTGTTTTACAATTAGCTTATCTATTTGTCCCGATTTTTATTGAAAATTACGCAATACTAACAAGTCGATCATTCTTTAGTCTTTTCTTAATTTTATTTATAGTGAATTCATTTCTAGAGTGATTACATAACGGATTAGTTTGTCTCCTTACTTTATATACTAGTGTTCTATTCATGACGTCATACTGTTGGACCCTTATAAATGTATTTGTACACTCTGCTGCAAAGGTGAACAGAATAAAAGTCTGACTTGTTTTAAAGATAAAGTAAATGGGAATGTTACATAAAATTTTATCTATATTGTCATTAAGAAAAGTAATAATGAAGAAAAAAACAAATTCATACTTATACCAACATCGGAAAAATAATTACATTTTCAATCCTTTTGTTTGAAGCCATTGTACTGAACAATGAGATAAACTATTTGTGAAAAACCAAGCTCATCAACTTTTTTGAAATTTCACACAAATGATATTGTCAAGTATTGGTTTTTTTAGGGATTTAGTTTGATTGGATGGAGGATTTCATCACGAGCTGACATTAGTTAGAGAACTATTGGAAAACCTGCAGGAAGTACTGAACAGCTGTTTCGTCCTAGTTTGGGACTCTTCATCAGTACGTGCCCACCAGGGTTCAAACCCAGGACCAATACTTGGATACCAAAGTCTTCTGTTAACATTCGTTTTGAAGATAATCTGTTTCATGTTTCAGTACTCCCAGGTTCAATGGTTCTCTAACTGATGTCAGCTCATGATGAAATCCCCCAACAAATGATATTGATTGAATAAATTACAGGAGTCAACTTTCATATGCAAGTTTAGTTGTGTACACTTTCTGAGAACTGAAAGGACTTAGCAGTGTAACGGTAGAAGACAAGAGACTTAGTAAAGGAATGTCTATTTTTGGAATTTGGTATTTCTATTTAGTGAAATTATGCACACTTTATCTTCAAATCGTCATTTGCACAGATCTTCCATGCTATTTCTGCCCTTGGTATGGTGTTTCTTTGTCTTCCTTTTCACGTCTCCTATGTTTCTCTGCAACGCTGAATCATTTGCTTTCATTGACATCAAATCTATCTCCCTGCTATTTGATATTTTTATGCCGATGAATGTCTCTTTATCTACTACTGATAAAGCTTATCAATAGCACACACCACAGTAGTATACATGCATAGAAAATGCAGTAGATCTTAGTATGTTTGCAATCTTTCCTTTACTGAAAGCAGGCAAATTAAGTACTTAAGGCAAGAATAATAGCCGTATTGTATTTTAACTTTATTTCTGATGACCTTTTTTCATGAAAACGTTAATTCATTACTTATATTAATTTTCACTTTTAGATATAGACTATTTTTTAGTTTATCAGTAGCCAAACTTAATACGTTTATTTTCCGTTTCTCTTATGCAAATGTCACATTTAAATCCTGTCTCTGTCTGTACCTTTCTCATATATTTACTTTAAAATATGAACCACAATTCGAATAACTATGACAACACTTGTCTCCTAACCTCACGTGGATAGTAAACATGTTTCAAATTCTTAAATATGAAATCTAGCAGTAAATACTTTTCTCTGACTCTTAAAAAGGATGCCTGCTAATAAAAGTAGAAATATTAAATATCTCAGTAAATACAGTATTCTGAGTGACACGACACCGAGTCATTTGTAGAGCCAAAGAGAGAGTATGTGTGAATGAATTTAGCAGTGAATCTCTACATTCAGTAAATGATGGTAGTAAAGTGTGGCAATGTAACTTAGACATTTTCTAGAGACACCACTGAAATTACTTCGAAGAGGTGAAAGGAAGCATAGGCAACACGCTATGAATGATATCTTATTAATATAATCCTGAGAGTTAGCAACACTTACTTATAATACGTGACTTTTAAGACTATAGAGTGTCCTAATGCTTCAGTTGTTACGGTCGCTTACATGTGTTTTGTGATATGATTTCTATGTCTTCTTTAATTGTCTGGTGAACACATACTTACGAATTCGTAAATGAATAGGAATAATAAAATCTTACTTGATTTGTCGATTTGCAGTCACAAGCATAAAAAGCAATGGAGCTATACACCAAATTAACAGGATATAAGGCTTTTGACCTAAAGACAGAGTGCTGTTGGTGATTGAATTATTTAGCAATTCGTGACAAACTACTACTTAGTAGTAAAATGCAGATAAGGGATTCAGGATATCATTATGAGCTGACATCGGTTGGAGAACCATTGG